TAAATCACCCCAAGTTCTGATAGATCCAAGTGTTAACAAATTCAATCACATCTTTGCTTTATCACTTAGTAAGAAAGGAAATAACCTAAGTCTTATGGCATCATCTGATACACCATCGTATTTAAATGTAACGCACAATTCTAGAAAATTGGCAAGATGTAAATTTAGATCTTCAATTTGTGATCCCCCAAACTGATTATTTGATACCATTTGGATAATAGTAGATTTAAGCTCAAATGAATTAGCCACTACAGTAGGTTTTTGAATACTACAATGAAGTTCATCTACAGTAGGGTTGGCATAATCTCTTAAAGTTCTAAACTTTTGATGAATTTCAACATTTTTGATCATTTTGGTTTGTCATTTCTATAATTTTTTTTGAATTTTTCAAGATTTTTAATTTTTTTGATTTTTTTGAATTTTCTAACAGTTCTCTCTAATTTAGAATCGTAGGGCACTAGTCCTTCGGAACCTGAACTATACATACACTATCATAAAATAAAACTAAACACACACAAAATAAAATACAATAAATTAAAGTTTAAATAAGAATTTCTTAAAAAGAAATTTGCTTTTAAATCAATAGATTCTTTACAATTTTCACTTCACTTCCCCGGCAACGGTTTCAAAGACTTGATCAATTTGATCAAGTCTTTCAAAATTGAAGCAACTGGCATTTGGGAATCAATTGGGTTGAAAATTGAAGGGTCGTGGAGTTCAATCTGGATGAATTTGAAGTTTGGGGCAAAATTGTGGTTTAATTTGAGTTGAATTTGGGCTAGGCTTGAGGCTAGACCAAGGCAAATTGAAGGTTCAATTTGATCTAGGGGAATGTTATGAAGAATTTATAATAAGAAATTGGGGGAATTAAATTGACTAGAAAAATCAATTTGATGTGATTTTGGCTCATGGTCAAATTTGGGGTTTAAATTGGGTGATTTGAAATGGTTTGAATCTGTTCCATAATTTTCTTGGAAGGTTTAGTACAAATTGTGCACCATCCATCATCCACTTTGTACGGATCTATTAGAGAGATTAACTCGGTCGAAATCACTTTTTAGAACCTCTTTCAATTTCTTTTAAATCTTCTTTTGGGATTATTATGTTTCCTTTTTTATAATTTTTCTCAAGCCAAACCTTGAAGTTGAGCAACTTTCTCTATTGCGCCCAATTAATCTATGGTATGGACAATAGTTGAGTTGATCCTACTTGTCGGCCTCTGATAGCTTCTTTGGCTTGTGGGAATTTGAACTCTGGCCTATTGATCATGTTTCTGAAGATCTTTTCCACCATGTCATTCTTAAAGGAATATAACATGTTCAACCGGTCTGCTATCGACAGACCATGTCCTTTGTCTATCCTGTATTGTTTCTATTGAGATGGAGACCAACCAGGCTGACCGTACTACTGACTGCACTGTTATGGTTGCTGAGAAGACTCCGATTGAATCTCTATGGGTTGCTTTCTCTTATCCACCGCTTCCACCATCCCAGACTTCTTCTCGTGTGCCTTAGTTGATCTGGTCTTTTCAAAATTCTCCACGGATTATGTATGCTTAACCTCTTCTTGCAGGCTACTGGTCTTACTTAGTAACTTCTTGAACATCTTAATGGTATCGAACCGTGAATACTCTTAAGTAAGACCTCAATTATGAGTTGGTTTTATAATTGTGGCTCACACTTCATGTTGAGGTTTCTCTATTGTAGAATGTACTTGACCAGCGTCTTCATAGGCTTCTGACGCTCCATTATAAGATCTCCAATGGTAACATGATGTTGAGCCCTGACAAATCTTTTTACGAATAAATTCTTTAACTCTATGAACATCTTGATTGATCTATTGAGCAACTTTATATGCTAATCAAATGCAATCCCCGAAAGGCTACTCATGAATAGTTAGAAAAGTAATGCCTCATTACCTCCTGTGTTTCAGTAGTTCGCTCGTAAATGTTTAACATGCTATCAGAGGTTTCCCATTCCATCAAAAGTATTAAGGTTTAGTGGAACAAAGCCTTTAGGGTACGAGACAACATCGAGTTCCTCCGGATATGGTCTACACTTTGAAATTGATGCACCACTTTTGATTGAGCTAAGGCCTCCTTCATTCGTTGCTTGACTAATTGCTTGATGTCACTTTCTGACACCATTTATTAGTTGGTTCTTTCCTTGATAGGTCATCTCTATTGTCTGAAGCAACATCCTTCCTTTCATTTGTAATATGTATAATTTTTGGCTGGTTTACCTTTGGTGATGTTGCTTGTTGTGATTGCGACTGTCCATGGATTGTAGCCAAGGTAGCCATGGTGGTGGCCATCTCTTAGCTGAATGGCCTTCTACAAGTCATCCACAGCATTTTCCTCAATGGAATGTGGAGCCTCGTGCTTAGTTGACATAGCTCGAGTCTCAACGAAGTTGATAGCAACAAATTCCTCATTCATATAATTTGCCAAATTGTAGTCTTTGTCATCAAAATTCATTCCTCTTTCTTTAGCCAACTCTATGATCTCAGCTCTGAGCTTTCCCAGTTTGGCATCAACTTCCTTTTCTTTAATTGCTTTTAGATCTATCTGCATTTCCTGAAGTTCCTTCCTTTCTTTAGTAATCCCTGTAGTATCTATGATGGTGGTTTTTGGAGCAACGAACTTACAATCCCCTTTGAGAGAACAATCTCCCGCTCTTTCTAAACGTATTAGCCAAACGACCTTAGGTAACAATACTTTCTTCTTTGATACTGACACTTTGGGACTTTGGGACAGGGTGTCCCAGTACTGACATCAGAATGTTGGAAGGAAGTGTGCTCCTTAGCGTGTGGACCTGATACGGTAGCGAATGATATTTTTCCACTAATCCTTGGAGATTCCTCATTAGCAATGGTAGGTAGAACTTTCGGACCCAGGAGAGACTTATCTGATCTACACTCTGTAGGTTTCAAATATTGGTGGTAGTATCCATGATGATGGCAGTGGTATCAACACAATCTCCCAAGCGAAACCTAACAGGAAGCTGGGACGGTGGAAATTCCTACAACTGACGGCGAGCATGTCTTTCCTCAATATTTCCTTCTTCATCTATGGGGATACAGTGCATCCCATCCTTTTCAGAAGTTTGGTGATGGAGCACTATTCTTTCCCAACTTACTTTTGAAAATTGAACGGAGTTAGGTGAGAGATGTGGGCCTCTCCCTTTCCCTCTTGCGATCAGGTGGCAGCGGTAACACAGAGGCGATCCTATAAACACTCTCCTCTCCAGTGGAAGCAGACAATGGGTGAAATATGCTCCCTCTAAGGAGAGGTGAGGACTTATGCTCTTCAACTTCCTTTGAATGAGGATTTATCTTGGTGAGAACCAATCTTGCAGCCTTGTCTTTCACTACTTTCTGAATTTTTTGGCTGTGGTTTCTTCTTTGTGCCCTAGTCAATGACACACTTCTCAAGCTAGTCCCAATCTTGAACACAGACCGGGTAGGCACAAACACATTGTTTGAATATTTTTCATACAAAATTTCCTTCTCTTGTGCAGACGAAACGGTCGGTGCGGTGACGACAAACACAGTGGCAGCAGTAGTGACAACTCTTTTTAGTACATGGGCAATAGATTTCACAGGTACGGGGGCTACAGACTAAACAGAAGCTTCCCTAATTTTAGGCCTCGTAATGTCAGGGAAGTTAGACTTACCATTTAGGTCATACACGACAGTGAGTTTAGCTATTTTTGGTGTGGCAGTCTCCATGATCGCATACGACACTTTTCCGAGGATGATTATGACCTCATCGAAGCCGGTATCAAACTTTATCATTGCTCTCTGATGGAGTGCAGCTTTGTCATAGGGTACGTTTCCATCGAATGAAAATATAAACTTTAGTGACGCCATCACAGCTGTCAGTTGCAGAGTTCCAAGAATTAGTAATGGCTTATACTTCGCAATCCTACTGAAAACATTAAAATTAGCAAAGGTCGTCCTGTGAACTGGGGGCAATTTTCCTTTAAATATATTTTTGTTTTAAGTTTAATTTAGGTGTATTATTTTTGGATTTATTTATTTTATTTTGATATTATCATTTTATTTAAAGTGTTGCTTTCATATTTTACTGACATTATGATTTAAAGGAGTTCGCTTGGCTCAGTGTTTAAATGAAAAGTACAAAAGTAAAGATTGGGTTAAATTTGCTAATAGCAAGTCAAACTTGAGAGACATGGAGTAAAGTAAAATTCAGGAATTAGTGCAGGTCTGACTTCACAACACACCTTGCTTACACACCTATTGAAGGTTTGAACCCACAAAAACTCTAAAGATTCCTAAACCCATCTATTTAAGGATGGTTAAACAGACGATCCTGGAATTGAAGAAGAGTTTCCTGCCCAAGGAAGAAATGAACGAAGCATGTCAACTGAAGAATGACAATTTGGAACATGACGAGCATGGACACATTATCGATGCATGAAGACAAAAACCTCCTGATCATAATGGACAGAAGAGCTAATCCTCAGTGGAGTCGCCATAAATTGTTGGACGTCGGAATGTTCCTATTTCTAAATAATTTTAGCTTTTGGATTTAATTTAAAATATATAATTTTGTGATTATAATGTTTTAATTTTGAAAAATAATATTTTAGTTTTGAAAAATGAGACTAAAAAGATCTCATTCATTTAATAGTTTAAATAAACGAGCACAACACCACAAACAATGCACCTATCCCAACAAGCAGACACATTACAGATAGTGGGCCTCGATTAAATAAACTAATAAATTCACGACATCAGTTTGGTCTGCAAAACCTTTTTATGCTGACAGACAAGTTCCCCTATTTAATATAAAAATTATATCGGGTTTTTAATGTTGCCCGACAAGTTCCTTTTTCTACTATAAAAAATAGATAAAGTTCTAGGTTATTAAAGGTCTCTGTAGAGGCAAGCCTCTATAGTTAATTACATCTTAAATGACCGATGTCATTTAAGAAGACTATCGATTTAGATAAGAGGTATTTGTCTTAAAGAATATCAAAGTTTGGGGTTTCAAGGTTGGACATGGAAAATCAAATGGGGAATTGATCAAAATAGGAAGAATATATTTTAGGAATTCAAAGGAAGAAAAATAAGAGATGTCACGGATCCTGAGGAGAACCTTGGTGACTTCCCAAACTATTCTATTATGAGGCTTTATGTTTTGGAAAAGATATTTATTTTGATGTTTCATCCTGTCAATTTTATCATTTAGAGCTTACATATTCATGACCTAGTCATACAAATAGCCTGAAATATATGAGGGTTTAATCATAACGAACGACAACCTCAGAGCTTAAAGCGTGTTTGGGCTCATATTACACAACATGGTTGTGCAATGACCTAAAAATAAATTGAGGATTTACATCATACTAGATAAGCTACCATAAAATCTTTCGGCTTGTTGTTTAATTCTAAGGAAAGTTCAGTTGGTGTAGATTGGATTTGTTGTTGTAGATCATTATCCTCCATCTTCTTCAGCTTGCTCTGAGCTCCTTATTGATAGCTACTCCAGGTTTAGTATTTTGTGTCTTATATTTTTCTTTCAATTATTGTTAATCCAATTAATTAAAAGGTAAATGTTAGGGTTTTGTAGTGATCCACCCTAGGTAAATTGGCTACCATATTCTATCCTAATGGTTTTGAAATTATATAAATAAATGAAAAAGTAAATTGATAGTAAATTGCTGTGGTAAAATTGTTGTAAATATATAAATGAGCATACCTGGGCCTCTCCTACCGCTACAAGGTTAGTATTATAAAGCATAGCATAGTTGCATAAATTTTAAGTAAATTAAGAGAAAAAGAAAGCGAGAAAGGCATGCAAACCTGATACAAGAAAATACCAATCACAAGGAAATACGAGAAAGTAAGAAAAATAAAACCCCCGTAGCCACACATGAAAAATCAGGCTAAATGTAAGATTTTGGTAAAGGTGAGGGCTCAGTGCTGGGTTGTGTGCTTCCAACCTTGGACCAAATCTACAGGCCAAGCAATCTTAGGAGAGCATGCTCTAGCCTAACCAAGATGATTAACAAGTGGACTTTTATAATTTTGTATTTTAAAACTCTTTAACTTTTTCATGCATATAATACTTTGTTTAACAGTCAAAAGAAGAGGTATATCAGGAAAAATATATTTTAAATATATTTGGAAAAACAAGTTGAATTATTTGTGCTAAAAGAAGGATACATAGTGAGATTTTATATTCCCTCGCAAGTTGAATAAAATATGTTTTTCCTAATGTTAATTATACAAACACTACGAATCTTCAGGGAATTATTTGTGCTAAATGTTAGGGTATAGTAGGAAAAACAATATTTTCAACGAATTGTAGCAGACCCAGAGGACCTCTAGAGTATCCAAAATCTTCCAAGAGTGTCCAGAAAACATTCTAAATAAACTTAGAATCTCCTATATCACTTTAAGTTTATTCTGGTCTTGCTAAACTCCTAATTGAATCATCCAAGTTGAATTAATGTCGTTATGTTGTGCTCAATATATATCTTATTAA